GGACTCGTTTCCCACTGGGATCAGCTTCATAGTCATGGTAGGACACTTTTGATTTTATCTATTTTGCTCAGGCTACTCGTTAGCCCACAGCCCGCCAAATGTTGAAAGGGCAATATTAAAAAAACATATCTTTATTATATCTCCTAAATCATGTCCTTACTCAAAAAACGAAGAATACAAGAGAATAAACACTAAGCTGCTTTTGATGACAGCAAAGAGACTAAGAGTAACTCTGGAGGAGCTGCAGAAATCCAGAGCTCCAGAGTTGACCTTTTTTGGAAGAGTTACACTAAGAGAACTTTTGTTGAATTCAGAAAGACCTTCGGATTGCTGATCACCATTTTGGCCTAAGGCACGTAGGACACACAGCAAAGAACAAAGATGCTCAGATGTCAACAACTTTAGATGTTTGATCAATCTGCAAAATGCAGTGGGAGGCAGCAGGAGGGACATTTCCCTTCTAAAGAACATGAATAATTGATGAGAATGGATGGAGGTAAACGGAGGACAATCATTTTTAGACTGTTGTAGAAGTAACCTTCCTGCAGGACATCAGAATCACAAAGTTAAGGGTGGAATCAATTATTGGCAAATATTAATTTAAAAGAATGCATTTTCCACACAGCTGCTTTTAACTGCTGTGACTTTATGCATTTGATGTTGAAAGTTAAGTGATTTTAAGTAGATATCTAATACAAAAGTATATATATATAAAAAAAATCAACTTTTCTGTTACAGAAACTTATCAGCTTCTATATTTAACATTTCAATGTCATGCATTCATGATAAACTGCACCATTCCTTTCCCAGATTTACTCTTTAAATCTACATTTTAGGTTCAGGGTTCGATAACGCATCACTTCAACATCATGCAGGTTTTTTGGAGTTGTAACAAAAGCCTGCTGTGTTTCCATTGTGGTGTATTTATGGGGAGCAGCAGGCTGCATCGGCGCCACACTGTGTCGACCTATTAGGACACAGAGTAAAGCCATTGGGCAATGTTATTAGTAGCACATGTAATTTTAGTTTTAGGTCACATCTGTAGGAAAAATAAATCCAGTAGCACTGAGATGGCAGATCTATAAAGAGGTCTAATTAAGTCAGATATCAGCCAGATATGAGAAACATCATGTATTTACTGAATTGAAAACTAGAATCTAAGGATAGAAATATATTGCAACATTAATTATATGCAGGAAACAAATGATAGATACCACATAAGTCTGGTGCTTCCTTAATACAGCCACCAGATGGTGCCAATGAGCTAGTTTCTGATTCCCTTGATTTTTATGGCTGTTTAAGAGAGGTACCTGCTAGTGTTGTGTTCATAGTCTTTGTGTCTTTAGGTGTGAGGCTGTAACCTTTATTCATTTCAATTCAGTTTATTTATAGGTAGGGGGAGCTCTAAGCCAGCTCCCATATCAGGGGATGAATTGGTTCCACAGGAATAAAAACAATTTGCCTCTCGGCATATTGGTGGAATGGCCCTCCCAAACGTGGAAGTATATATTGAGTGTGTGTGTGTATGTATATATGTGTATATATATATATATATAT